ACAACCCAATCCCTATCTCTCACCACCAGGTCCACCACCACAGGCACCACCACAGGGGCAATATCCTAACGGTTATCAACCACAATCCAATCCCTATCTCTCACCACCACCACGTGGACATTATCCCAACGGTCATTACCCACAATCCAATCCCCGCCTGCCACCACCACCACATGGACCTTATCCCAACGGTTATCACCCACAAAGCAACCTCCATTTCCCAACTGCAAACCCAGAACAAAGAGACGGGGCGGAGAAGCGGATGTAAACGCGGACAGACTTATGCATATATATGTAGCGAGGGATACACAACGAAGATGGGATGAGTGATGAGAGGCCGTGTTTGGAAATTGGAGTCCGTCGGGAATTGGGATGGGGCCGGTATAGGAATAGAGGGACTTGTAATGGTAGATGTGGAGGGACTTGTGGGTAAGGACAAGAAGTGCGGGAATAATGATACTGGAGGATATTTGGAGAAGGCTGTGGAAAGTGAAAACGCGGATGGATATAAGCAGTGATGGATGGGATGGGATTGCGAAAAGCTTGAAGTTTGGCACTTGCCACTTTGCGTAAAAAGTTTGATTTGGTGGTTTGTGTTTTTGGTTTCGGTTTTGGTTTTGGTTTTCTGGTTTTAGTCTTGGTATTGTTTTTGGGATTCGGTTTTGTGCTTAGGTCGTGCTTGGTTGTTGTTTTTGGTATTATAGATTGCGTTGGATTTGGCGTATAAAAGTGGAAAAGCGAAAAAAGTGGCGAAAGGGGCATAATATTAATACACCCTTATAATCATCCATCCCAAGGTCTTCATTTAATACCACTCGTGAAGTGAAGCAGTAGTATACATGGCCCACTCTCTGCCCTTACGCACCATGCTTGCTATTGAGACATGCAAAGAAAACGCTCCCATACCATATCCATATCCATCTTACACCAGCTCGCTCGTAACATTTGAGAACTCGCCCTTCTCCAGCTTCGTCTTCCAGAAAATCGGGTTCGTATCACTGAAACCATGCTTCACCCATCCATCCTCCTTGACGTGATACAAGTTAATAAACCCACCCGAGTATGCATCCCTATGCGTCGCAGCCAAAATACTCCTACTGCCTAGCTCCAGCGCCTCCTTCTCGCTCAAATCATACCGATATTCCGCATCCAGCACACCATAAGCAAACGTCTGGCCAGAACCAACGCAGAAGAGGTTTCCTGCCAGCCGCGTGCCGTCCGAGTCGATGTAGTAGAGCGCGGGGCCTTCCGAAGGCGTCACGCCGGCGCACATGGTGCCCATGGACAGGCCCCTGCCCTTGTACGAGTAGACGAGGTTGGCGAGGATCTTGGAGGCGGCGGCGACGGAGATGCGGCGTTTGTGGCGGAGTTCGTGCAGGCGGCATTGCATTCCTAGGTAGGCGAGCCAGTATTGACAATCCTAAGGGAAAATAAATTATCAGCCATATTCTTCCCGTTCGATTCAGGTCAACTCTGCAGTTTCGAAAACATGATGATATTTGTCGTGGTAAACGCTCGAGGTGGAAGCAGGAAAACTCACAGCAGCTCCACCAGCCATTGTACCAAGTAAACAACTGTTGATCTCGATGACCTTCTTGACCGTCTGCGACGCAATCCAGTTGCCAGCCGTCGCTCTCGAGTCCGTAGCTACGATAATACCGCCCTGGAATCTGAATGCTAATGTTGTAGTACCGTGTGCGATCTTGATGGGGCAGTTGGGGTTGGCATGGTCGTCTGTTGCGGCTCGAAGCCAAGCGGAAGGCTGTGATGATGGAAAAGAAATTAGCACGTTGCCACCAAGACAGAAAACTTATTTTGAAGCTTGGAAAAAGCTGTGGGATGATGGGTAACTCCATACTTGAGCTACAGGAGGCATGGCGAACTTGAGGGACAAGCTTGGGGTAGCTTGGTACAGCTCTAGTTGATCCTCTTCCGAGATGTTCTCCTTCTCGAACATCGGCCTGCTGTATTGCGCTACGAGGGTATCCATCTTGAAGGTTGGTGAAGGAGTGTTATGGAGGGGAAAGAAGTGGTGGTGATGGAGTTGTGGAGGTTGATGTTGTTGGCGATGATACGGAGCTTCAGGCAGAGCTTAGATGTCGCGTCAGTCGTACCTGCTTCGCTGACTAACCACCATATCACGTGCCATTGTTTTACTACTCCGTACCTAGCCTAGTCTCAAACGAAACCTCAACTCCCGCTCCTGTTCAAAATCCCTAATCACTTTCCTAAAAAAAAAAAGTTCCGTTCCGTTGCAAATCTTGCTCTTGACAACTTGCGAGCATATCACATTTCTCCATTTACTTTTCGGGAAAATTCACTACGTTCACCCCTGTAATATGCAACAACTTACCCAATCATGGAGTTCATATTACACTTTTTAAGAGTAACTGGAAAGCCAAGTATTCGAAAAATGTGTTGGATGGATAAAGTGTTGCTGTAGGGGGTTTTGGTTGCAATCGTCAATTGGCTGCAGGTACACTCCTCCATTCTTATATAAAATTGTTATTTACTTATACTTGGAATTGGGTATCCACTACATGATCCTCTATGTCGTTATATCATATCCTAAAATCATATACTCAGCCAATGTAGCTCATCCGTTGAGCTCTGTCCCTAAAGGATACCCCGAGCTCGGAGGCTCGAGGGGCTGCCTCATCCTCATGGGTAAGGAACTGATATTCCATGCATAGTAGCGTCGTGCGCCTTTCAAGCTCGCCTCTTTCATCCCATCGGCTCGTTCATCGCCCACTCGACATAAGGTTTATGCTCTTCTCCTAGCTCATCGTTGATAGCCACCAACAACTTCGCCCCGACACCCCTCAGATACCACAGAATATTCATCCGCTTGACCAGAAGCGCATAATGCGCCAATATCACAAGGGCTTCCGGCCGACGCTTATGCATCAATGATATATATTCCTTCGACACCTTACTCGGCCACAGGTAAATCATGCCCACAATACCCATCTTCCCCAACATATACGGTCCGGACCACAACTTTCTCAGTTCCTCAAGCGCAGTTCCGCAAACCTCTAATTCCCACTTATCCAGCGCCGTAGATTCAGGGCCTGGTTTCAAAACCTCGTAGATCTTGGCGAGATGTACGTCCTCGGGATGATCTCGTTTGTTGTCGGGCGTCATTGGGCTTTTGACGAGTTGGTAGCCAAGCGGCCCTGTCTCGAGCGCATCCCAGTTATTGAACAGGAAGGCCATATAGCCCCTCAACGCATGGAACCAATGGGGCTGGCCTTCATAACTGGGAACTCTACCCATGGGCCCCTCCAACGAGCCCGACATATTCAGCATGTACGGCACGACAAAATGCGAGAATGCGAACACGGCGTGCAGGTTTCCCTTCTTCGGGTCGTCCGCCAGGTAAGAGCGGAAGGGTGGGAGGGCCAGTTGTTCGGAGATCATGGCGAAGGTAACGAGCTCGTCTTTGCGGGCGGGGATGAGGGTGCTCAGGTTTAGGGCCGAGAGGGCTAGGATGCCGTGCATGAGGAACTTGTGCTCTAGTGCCATTCGGGGGATGGTCGTTTGCCAGACGTGCACTACTTTTGGACCGGTGATCATAAAGCTTACGACTGTTTGGTAGTGGTGCAGTATTTCAGCGCTCCGAAGATCCATATCTCCGAAACGAAGGTTCAGACATGGTGGGCCAGACGTCGTGACTAATGGGGTTGTTTTGGGATTCTTCTTAGCTCGCGGCTTTTGAGGCTCAATTATAGTAGGTGGCGGCCTTGGAGTACTAGTTCTGTTTTGCAAGGTCGGACGCATTGATACCCTTGTGGGTGTGAGAAAAGCAAGGCCGCATTGCAGTTTATTGCGTTCGCAACTCGTGCATATGGGCTTTCTCTCATCGCACTGTCGGCTTTAGTCAGCCTTGTGTTTGGCAGGAGGTCTAAAGAAGGAAGTGCTGGTGTGGACGGGAGTTTCCACATATATATGAATGGTGGCACTTCTACTCCACTCCGTACTAACCTTGACTCTACGCCTCTTACATTGATTACAACCTGTCCTGGTTTTTCTATGCGGGCGCCGGATTCTCCAATCAGACCCCTCACCCTCCATCACCGGTGGCTGGGATGAAGGTGACATCTTGATGAGGGAATCCAGACCCCAGACTCCAGACGCACGCTGACGGCGCTGGAGACGGTTGTTGGTTGGTCGATTGGCCCCTTGCTGGGTAAAAGACTCATAAGGTGGTGTCGTGCCGTTACAGTACAGTACTCCGGAGTACGTACCGCACTCTACTGGTACCGTCACTCTGGGACGTTGATGGGATGGGAAAGGTCCGATGGGGTGTTAATAATTGGGGAGATCAGACGGACGTCGTCCGTAGTTTACGCTACCCCTGTTGCAGATCACCTCGTTCTCAAGCCGACTTGATTGGTGGATTGGGAGTCGAGCTCACAGAACTGAACTCAACTCATCCAAACTTCGGCTTGACAATTTTATATAAAAGTATCAACTGGGTACAAATACGAGCCGTCGTTTGTCTCATCTACTAACGCTGGCGTTTTTCCGGTGCAGAGTTACCGTATGCATGTCATGTCATGTGAAAGCACAATGAAAGAGTTTGAATAATAGGGAAGTAAAAACCGTTAGATGCAAACATAGATTGCGACGACAGACTCATGTCTTGCAGTAATGCGAATTTTTGATTTAGTACAGCAGAATGAGATTTCACTCCAAAGATGTTCCGTGCGCGACGGGATCAATTACTCAGCCTTGCGCTAAAGTATGAGAAGGCTGACTTTTCGCCAAAAATTGAGTCACCGTTCTATCGTCACAAAGAACTTTGACAACAACACCAACTTTGCCCACCATCATCCGCCACAGATGAAATAGCACCATAATCCAACACGGGGCACTATAGAGAGAAGCATGTTTAGCACCTTTCAGATATCTTTTCCAAGATCCCATAAGCGCAGGAGTCGCAGATTACGCAGGTAGACGGATATCTACATTTACAATTTCTCACGCTGGCTCTATCATCTCCTCAATCTATCGGAAAACAGTTCTTCCAAGTATTTCAAAAATCTGTCAAGATGGCATCAAGTGAGAGCAGTGGAGTGTCCCTCAACACTCGCATTTTGAACGTCAATACCACCAAATTTGGATTATTTCAAAATCCGCAAATACTCGAAACACTGGAACTACCCCGCGACCTCTCACCGAACGATCCATTACTACTGGCGGCGCGTCACCTGAAGACGAGTAGTATTCCGGTTGGATTTCCTACAGAGACTGTGTACGGACTAGGTGCAGATGCGACGAGAAGCGACGCAGTGAGGGGCATATACAAAGCAAAGGGCAGGCCATCCGACAACCCCCTCATCATCCACATCTGCGACCTCACCATGCTCCGCGACTACCTTGTTCCCGCAAACACAAAACATTCAACCTCAGACCCAGATCCAATCCCCGAAATCTATAAGCCGCTGATCAAAGAATTCTGGCCCGGCCCTCTCACTATCCTCCTCCCAAACCCCACCCCTAGCAAGCTCGCCCCAGAAGTCACTGCTGGACTATCTACATTCGGCGCCCGCATGCCCTCTTCCCCCTTGGCCCTCTCCCTTATTGCTCTCGCCGGCGTCCCTCTCGCCGCTCCTTCCGCAAATGCATCTACCAAGCCCTCGCCCACAACCGCCGCACACGTCCTACACGACCTATCCGGGCGCATTGAATTGATTTTGGACGGTGGACCTTGCCAAGTAGGCGTCGAAAGCACCGTCGTAGACGGCCTATGTTCTCCTCCAGTGGTGCTACGCCCAGGCGGTGTAAGCATTGAGCGGATCCGGCAATGTGTAGGTTGGGAAGAGACTGTAAAGGGATATAAAGACCAAAGTGAGATCGGGGCAAACGCACCAAGAGCCCCGGGAATGAAATATAAACACTACAGCCCGAAAGCGAAAGTCGTGCTCTACGAAGCAGCATCTAAACGCGATACACGCACTGGCCGTATCACCAATTCCGGCGTCCCGCTAGAAGCATGGCGTCTGCTGGCCGCCAAGGATAATAAACTGTCCTACCTTGGTCTGGAATCAGCCAGTTGGCCCGTGAAGATTGGGATCGTGAGTACGAAGCACTGGGTCAAATGGGCGGGGTTTCATGGCGCGAAATGGAGCACAGCCGAGAGGCCTAGCCAAGCGGCTACTGCTACTTTGGACACAGACGAGGCTCATTATTCGGATGACGAGTGGGATAGTGTGATTGTGAACCATGGTACAGAAGAAGATCCTCAATACGAGCCCGAATCCTTCTCCCCGTCCTGGACGCGCAGCACTAGATCCGCACACCTAAAAGTCCTTGATCTCCAACCCCCCACCTCCACCACTACAACTACCCCTACCCCTCCCCTCCCCAGCGACCTAGTTGTCACAACCGGCGAGCTATGGCAAGGCGATCGTGATTCCGGCTATGGTTCCGGAAGCGAGGATTTCCAAGACGATTTCCTGAGCGATAGCCGCACTCGACATGTAGCTGATATGTACGAGATTGCCCTTGGGGCTGAGACGGGCGATATTGCGCATGGCTTGTTTTCGGCGCTGAGGGAGTTGGATGCTAGGGGTGTGGATGTTATTTATGTGGAGGGTATTGAGGATGAGGGTGATCGCAATGGGGATGGGGATGTTGCGGCTGCGGTTATGAATCGGTTGCGGAAGGCAGCTAGTGTTATTGAGAAGTAGACTTGGAGGAGGGAAAAGGAACCCGAGATACTGGATACGGGGGAAGTGGAACTGGACTGAAGATTTCAGACGGCCGGTGTTGGTTAGTAGAGGGTTGGTGTAGAGATACAGTAGAAATGGCTTTAACACCATTCAAAATCCAGAATAGATCTGGAAACCGAATTCAATCAACACAATTTCAAATTAGAGCCAGTCCAAATGCACTCATCGCTTAATTCGAAATAACTTTTCCTTGCCAGGAACCTCTACTATAACCGTAACTCCAAATCTACCTCCCTTTTCTTCTCTTCCCCCGCAAAACAGTCTTCCCACGTACAACTGGTCATCTCACCACAATCCCCTTGCCCACCCCCTCCCACACAACCCCCCTCTATCCCCTTCTCCCCACACATCTCTCCTCACAAACCCTGCCTCAACCAATCCCCCAACTTCGCCTTCCCGAACTGCGCTAGATTATTCATGCCCTGCTCACTCAGATCAATGCCCTTCAACTGCGCCGCGTCCTGCGTCGGCGCCCGGCTAACACGCTGCACGATGATCGTCGGGTCTGTCTCGAGGATGATGCCGTCGTCAACGATCTCGTCGATGGCGAGGGCGACGAGGTCGTAGTTTTCAATTATGGTGCGTTTGTCTACTGATTGTCTGGGTGGGTGGTTGGTTAGTGGGGTGTGTTTTTGAGAATTGAGATAGAATTGGGAATTCGGGATTGTATTTGGGGGTTTGGGAATTGGGAGGAGAAAAAGGGAGGGAGAGAGCAATGGAAAGGGGGATATACTTGAATAGCAAATGTAGGGAGTCCCGTAACGCCAACACGACGTTATACAGCATAATCTCATTCTCCTCGACGCCGCCAACCACATACATCATGACATCGCTCTCGCTCTTGTACAGCACGATCCTATTATCGTAGAGAATGATATCACTTGTCTGCTTTGCGGTTTTCTCCAGGAGGCCTTTTTCGAATGCCTTTTGCGATTTGACGTCTGCGTAGGGTGGGGTGGGTGTTGTTGAATCTGGACGGGTTTGTGTTAGTAATTTGGAGGAAGGGAAAGGAAGAAGGGGTGGCGATTGGAGAGAGGGAAGAAGGGGGAAGTGGGATTTGAAGGGGGGAGTAAAAATGGAGGGGCATACGTGGTCCTGTTCCTGTATGCGGCGAGCTGTAGTATTTTGCAAACACCCGTGATCCGTCGTCTGAGTTTAGGATTATGATGGCGTTTACGGCGAAGAGGGACATGCTTGGTGCCATGGTTGCGGGTCTGGTGGTTGTGCAGATTTGTGGTGGGGAGTTTGAGCTTGAGCTTGAGCTTGGTGGTGGTGGAGGAGCTGTCTTTAGGGTGCTGGTGGAGGTCGTTCGAAAGTTGAGGCCTTGCGGTTCAGGCATGACTGGAACTATTTTCAGGTTGCTAAAATCTCTCCTTTTTTTTCTTCAACTTCATAAATGTTGCAGCTAGTGCGCAGGGTTGAATGCAACGGTTTTTAGTTCGTTTTGCTTTGCTTCTTTTTAAAGTTTGTGATCTGTTGTTTGCTCATTCTCGATTTCTTTCGCAAGTGTATATTTGCGTTGGACGGCGGCAACTTGCCTTCACAGACTGCTCTGCTTCCGAAAAAGGAAGTACTACAGAGCAAATGTGTACCAATCCATTTTAATGACTCTGCTAAGAACTATGTAATCCATCTATGCCGCCTGCCATACCCGTGCCTCCATCCATATAATTTGTATTTAGGAAATCAAAAAACCCCAAATCAATGTCTGTCGGCCATTCGAATGAAGGTATTTCCACTGCTCTATCTGACTGTGGAGTTTGCGTAGGAGTAGCAACATTTATCTGTGCGTTCAGATTAAGGCACCTTTGCAAGCATTCCAATTCTCCTCTCCGTTTCTTCTCCGTGACTTTCACAAGGTAATGCGCAGTACGGAGCGCTTCCCTCGATACATGCGAATTGAAAATCGTCACCACATTCTGCAACGTCTCCATAGCTTTCTGCAAAAGCGTCAAACTCTCCATAGTATTAAGAGCGATTAACACGCAGATGCTGTGGAATGGTACGCCGATGATGGTCCACCACTGTTGCGATTGGGTGACAAGGGAATCTGCTGCTTCAAGTGCTGATCGAATCATAGACAGGATTACCTCAGTCTGCTTTTGTGATAGTGTGACGCCGATGTATCTTAATTTTCGATAGATGCAGAACATTGCGTCTGCTCTCATTAACATGAGCGGTGGCTTTGAAATAGCCATATTCCCTAGCCGCAAGATCCCATCCGTCAGGACCGTAGCTGAACTCGGGGAGCCTATATCACAAAGATCTGGCATCAAACGTATAAGGCTAATAAAGTCATCCCCTCCATCGTCGGTAACAGTCATTGGATATCGACAAGTAATGTTCTGAAGCGTTATCTTCGTCCGTCCATACTGCGCAGAGAAAAGTCGGTTCAGGCAGTCAGCCGTCCAAAACACCCTCCTGCGGCTCTTAATCTCCTCCTCACTCATAAGCACCCTCTTACCGGGCGTAATTCTTATCTCGCTCATCTCTTGATGAAGTCCTATAGACTCTGCAATATGCATCGCCATACTACTCGCCACCCACGAAACATGCGGCTTCGTCGTACAACGTAAATAGATAGCACGTAAGAGCCAACCAACAACGAAGTCAACCGAGAGTAACACTTCTGAATGTGCGAAAGTGCTGTCTAGTATTAACCTTGCTTGTTCGACGATTTCTGCTTCGCGTATGAAGGCGGGTTGTGCAGAAAATAAAGATCCTAAGGCCAACACTCCACACAACACTACTTCAAACCCAGCATCTATGTCCTGAGTTTCCCAGCAACTAGAGGCCCGGTGGTTAAACCCGTCGTGGCTTATTATATCAAACATTGGATTGACTGAAGTGAAAAACACGTTTGAGAGACTTTTCACATCCTGGGGTGCAAGGTATTGCAATATGTTCTGTCGAATTACGGGATTATTATCGATCCTGGTACCTGTATTCCAGGCAAATGCATGTAACCTCGGAGGCTCATCCGCATTAAGTGCCAAGCCAAGGCTTCTTGGGAATGCAATTGCACTATCTACCCTCGTAAACCTGGTATTGCCTGTCCGCGAAGATTGACGCTCTTCAGAAAGTTCGTACAACTGTTTTTGCGGCTCCGTACTGGTTGTCTCATGGGTTTCCGATGTCTGAAATGGCTGGTTCCGTGCTTGTGAGGCAGGGTCTGGATCTATTGATAACCTTCCTCCAGATATGACTTGCTCGGAGGAAGATGTGGGGATCTCGGTATTGGCGTAAACGCAGCTGTAGTCGTAGCCAATGCAGATTTCACATGGGTGGCCACCATCGCATTTGACTTTTCTGTGTCGGCATGGCTCGCACGCTTTACGGATACGACGACGCAGTTTTTTACGTGGGGGAGATCTATCGACGGTTTGGTCTTTTTCTTGCAGTGGCTGTTTGAAATCAGTAGTCTATGACGCGAAATATGTAAGAGTGGGCTTTACTAATGCGTTTAATGGGGTCCGAGACATTACTAATAGGACGGACTTTGCGAACTTCTGTGGGATGTGTTATATGTGGCAGTTTCAGGGGGTTGAGATGAATTGGATGTCAGTATAGAGTTATTCGGAGTTGCGACGGAAGTCGGATGGCACGGAGTTAACCATGCTTGTTTAGTAATAACCAAGTTCGGATAGCACGGGATGGGCGGAGCAAAGAGTCGAGCTAGTCAACTTTCCTTCCCCAAGTATGGAATTTATTTCACATATAATAGTGATGCTTATTAAATATGGGTTTTTATCGGCTCCCATCTTGTTATAAACCCCGCGCAAGACGGAACAAGTCTTGGGTACTTAAGCAACCCCGTTCCCATTGCAATCTCTTATATCTTCCATTACTACTATATCCTATAGGTAACACTTAACTATTCCATTCAAAAGTAGGTCTTAATATTAAAACATACAAGTAAGTGTTTACGAAAAACTATCAGAATTAGTTTTATTCTAATGTTAACCAGTTATTCATCAAGTCAATAACACTTGCTCGGAAATCCCCACCATGTTCAATGACAATGTCAGCAACCACAATCCAGCTCCCAAATCCGTTCTCGTCATAGGTCTAAGCCAACACCTAACCGGCTCGCCTATTGAGAAAGCCATCAAAGAAGACTGGGCAAAAGAAAAGGCCTACGGAATTGCAAATTCATTCGATAATGTCGGTTTTAATCTCGACCCGAAAGACGTCCCAGGCACGCTCAAGGCTCTCCAACACGAGCTTCAAGGAAGATCTTGGGATGGTATACTACTTGGCTGGTGTATAAGGGGACATGTGGAGTTTACTTTGCTCTTTGAGGAGGTGCACTCGGTGTGCTGCGAAGCGGTGAAGGCAGCACCGCAGACGAAGATTATGTTCTCTACTGGGCCGGATAATTTGGTGGAGACGGTGGTGAGGAACTTCCCTGTGGGAATTAGTGTTTAAGATGTGAGTATCTGTTTAAACGATGGAGTCGCTCGTTGGGTCCATATTTGGAGATATTTCTTCAAAGTATCCCTTGTCGATTCAAATTTATGGCGGTATTTTTGGCTCAATCTATATTCTTTTAATCTTTTAATTCCAATAGACTATCTTAATACAAGCTGACGCTATCTAAATGTAAATGTACCTATACTATGTATCTATAGGTGCTAAGCGCTGTTGTGGTTTAAGATACTAGCACTACAAAGCCTGAAAGATGAAGTGAGCCCGTTTCTCTTTCATTAACCCTCACTCATTTTTATACCCATTACCAGGGCCAATAAAGTGTTCCAATTACCCCAGCTCTTTAAGCTTTCTCCTAGTTTATATATTTCAATAAAGTACCATCATTTCACTCAGTCAGCCGAGTCAGCCTAAGTACCCCCTGCTAAATGCTCCAAGGTTGCTATTGGCGGTTCAAGCAATAGTGGCTGTGCAGCAGGCATAACATGAGGTAGTGCCAACACAGCAGCATAATAAGGAGCACACCCCATACTTTTACCTCCTGCCTCCAGCCTCCTAATATCATTCCCCTAAGTCCTCACGATCAACCTTTATGACAAAACGAAATGGATCCGCTTACGGCACTCAGTCTTGCAAGTAGCATCGTGCAGCTTATTGACTTCGGAGTTAAACTATGCGCTCTTATGAAAGAATGTTCCGAAATTGCAGGCTGCCCAGCAGAGGTTCTGACGCTCTCGCGACGACTTGAAGCTACGCTCCAAACACTCAACGACCTTAGTGAAACAGGGCGCGCTATTCTCCAAAATGAGGCAACAACCTTGACAGTATGTATTGAGAAGGCTAAAGGCTTGTTGCTATATCTGGAAGGGTTCAAAGTCGGCCCTGCTTCTGAGAAGGGTCCGGGGAATATGGCCGCAATATTTTTGGACAGGAGAAAGCTTGACCTCCGAAAGATCGGCATAGTCTTCCGAACTAAATGGCAGTCGGAGAAAATACAGCAGTTAAACTTGGCTTTGGATCAAATGTTAGGTTTGATCCAGTTTCAAAGCCAGCTCAGAGTAGAGCATGTACACCCTGAAAGTTAACAGTCTCGGAAATTATCGTCTGACAGTTGATAGAAACACTACTTCGAGGCTGGAAACCAAAACAGACACTGTGATTAAGCATCTAGGACAGATGAAGCTCGTTCGGCCTAACTCACACGAAATCAAACGAGATACCCAGAAACGTGGGTATCCCAACCCAAGTAATATTCAATGCCAAAATGCTAGCTAATTCATGTGGTTTACAGGTGAACTACAAACATTATTCTTAGTCTCGGCTGGTCGAAACAACACTTTCATCGGTCGAGAGGCTATTTGGAAGGAACTGGTCTCAAGAATTAAACATAGAGAAGCATACCGGGTTTGCGAGGTTGCTCTTTATGGCCTTGGAGGCATCGGGTAAGAGCCTTTTGCCAATGTATCTATTGCTAGTTCAAAGTGTTTAATTTGTCGACAGAAAATCTCAACTGGCCTTGGAATACGCCTACCAGAACAAAGAGGGCTCGCCAAATACCTCTGTGTTTTGGGTCCACGCCGCAAATGTTGGCAGATTTGAGCAGGATTACAAAGCTATTGCAAAGGCTTTCAACTTATCTGGTTACGATGACCCACATACAAATATGCTTCAGCTGGTACACGACTGGCTCGAAGATCAGTATGAACAAAGTTGGCTGATGATTATTGACAATGTCGACGGAAACCAACTATTTGACACAACTACTCATGGAAGGACATGCAGAGAGTATATACCCCAGAAAAACTCAAAGGGAACAATAATTTATACGTCTAGAAATCGGGAAATCTGCTGCCAGCTCGTCGATGATCCAATCCACGTACCTTCGATGACCAAAACTGAAGGACGGACTCTTCTCGGAAACCGTTTGATAAGCACTAGTACCGACGCCGAGATTCAGGAGCTTCTAGAAGAGCTGGACTTTCTTCCACTCGCACTTATGCAAGCTTCCAAATACATGATCGCTAGGCGAAAGAAAGTGTCCCAATACCTCCAGCAGTTTCGAGAGAGCAAGAAATCCAAGATCAGTCTTCTCAAACACAGATTCTCAGATACGAACCGACGAGAGCGTGGCCTAGAGTCTGTGGCAGCTACATGGATTATCTCATTCGATCATATTAGAGATGAATGCCCCAGGAGTGGCGAGTTGCTCTGCTTGATGAGCTGTCTTGACCGCCAAGGAATACCAAGATCACTCATTATCGACGAAAATGAAAACACCGTCGAATTTGACCGCGCTGTTGGCCTCCTAGAAGACTACTCATTAATTTCGATGGACGAGGATAATACTCTTTACACCCTCCACCGGCTTGTGCATGCAGTAACAAACGCTTGGGTCGTCGATCAAAACAACAAGGAAGAGGCACGATGGGCAGTCCGCGCACTAGAAACCACATCAAAAAGATTCCCAGAGTATCCAGAATTTGAAAATTTTCCCTTACGTGCTTTATATCTGCCACATGTCGACGTTGTCTTGGGACAATCTTCTGTCTCCCCGAATTCTACCGAAGACAAGGAATATCTGCTGGCAAAAGCACATCTGCTTAGATGTGTATCTTCTTTTTCAAGGCGACGGGGCCAGGGGAGAGCTACTATGCAGTACATTAAAGAGTCTTTAAATATTTACGAGAGTCTATTGGCATTTGATTCGATGGAAGCGTTCGACGCAAAGAGTGAAATGGTAGCTTGTTTGTTAGAAGAGTATGAATTGGATAAGGCTGAGGTTTTATGCCGACATATTCTGGAAGGCCTCGAAAAGAAACTTGGATCGGAGAATCTTACTACACTTGATGAAGTGTACACACTCGCTTTTATTCTTTATTCAAAGGGTGAACAACACATCGAGGCCGAAATCTTGGCCCGGAGAGCATTGCAAGGTCAAGAGTCACAGTAATCAGGCAAATTCCATAGGCGGGTTCGCCGAAGTATGAGAGTCCTGGCACTAATTCAAAAGTCCTCGGGAAAGCTTGACGAAGCAGAGAAGACCTTCCGCGAACTACTTGACATAGAAGAAGTTAAGTTCGGAAAAATGCACCCAGATACCATAAAGTCAACCTGCTATCTAGGACTTACCCTTTTAAAGCTTGGTAAGTATGTAGAGACAGAGCAGATCTTACGTCAGGCGCTCGAAAACTGCATGAATCTGTTGGGTACTAAGAATTCTGATACCCTATGGTGCATGTATAATTGTACCCAAATATTGCGTCGAGTGGGACAACTGGACGAGGCTGAAAATCTTTGTCGGGACGCGTTGTCACATGCGACTAAAGAATTAGGCAAAACGTATTGGTTGACAACCAACATTGCTGAAGAGCTAGGCGACGTTCTGCGAGACAAAGGTAGCTATTCATCTGCCGAAGAGATTCTCCGAGAAGCAATAACTTGGAAGGAGGTGCGATGTAGTGGGAGCGAGCTTCATCTATTTCAGTCTCGTTGGAGGCTTGCTGAAGTTATTGATGAACAAGGCAGGCATGCGGAGGCCGAGGTTATGCTAAGAGATGTACTAGAAAAGGTGATAGAAGAAGTTGGGCAGGATAACGATGTTACACATAACGTTAAGTGGATGCTGCATATGGCGACGTTGAGAAGGGAGAGGAAAGACAAGGCTTCAACACCTGTATGGTCTCTCTTCTCGTCAAATGATGATGACTCGTGCATCAATCATCTATGGGATACTAGTCTTTTGAGAGTCTGAAATCATTATCAAAAATGAGAAGTCACTGGTAAACGTTGAAGACTGTCCTGTTCTTTATCAAGAAGATTCACAGATTCCTTAATTGTTCCAAGACTCGGATACTTGCAGAAGAAGCCCATCTTGCCGTTTGCACCTACGGTATTCGGTAAGATACTTACATGAGCTCTAACGTGTGAAGTCTGCAGGCTCCCTATCTGCATGCATTCCATCTTATCCGTTTGTATTCCTTGTCCTTCCAAAAGCCCCACACTCTTATATCGTACCTTTCCTTTCCTCATTTGTCTCTTGCACACCGCAAGACCTCAAACCGACTGGGTGTAAGCTCAACTTGCTCTCCACCAGGGACAAAACTCCCAACAAAATCGATGGCGAAAAAGAAGAACAACTCTGCTAGAGGATCGGGACCAGCCCCTGCACAGGTGCTCAACCCAGCCGCCCCAGTCTTCACTGATGAGTCTAAGAAGAAGCTTCGCCGCAATATCGTGAAAGATTTCGACCGCTACTTCGGCGCCCCAAACAATCTGGACAACTGGCAGAGATTGTGCCACGACGTGGGAGTGGAGGACGATCTGAGTAGCATCAAAAGATGCAGGCAGGTACGTGACAAACAGACCAAAATGTGCTTGTAGAAAACAACTAACTGATGGCACAGGCACTGGAAGGCATTTGGATCAACATCTACGATTTCCTTGACGCTCTGGAGAAGGGCGTGCAACCTCGGCGTTTTCCAAGCCAGAGCGCACTTGCGCGTTACACGATCAAGACTGGAAAAATTTATCCGAAGAAGAAGGCGAAGAAAGAAGGACCTGTGAGGGCGCTACTTGCGCATATTTTTAATTGAGGATGGCGTGGGATATTATGGTTGAGGTGGGTTTGGAATGGATATCTGTGGGTGTGCATTTGGAGGGGGAGGAACATTTGCATAACGGGTGGGATAATGGGCGCACGAAGGAATGAGGAATATACCTCATGTTACGAAAAGTATTTCAGCCAGAGCAACTCTTCAAATTCTATGCTTCACCCCTGCTTTACTAGCTTTCATCCAGGATGCCTACTAGTTGTGTGGAACGATTGGCTGTGGATCAATCAGCATAGTCTCTCCATTCCCTTAAGATCACATACCTTAAGCAGTTCCACGTGATCAACGTGGGCACCAAGATCTTCCCAAATACTCTCTTCCGGGCCCCTTCCAATCATAGAAAGTGGGAATCCTATATCAAACGGAGCAGCTGCCTCAATGTAATCAATATCTTCTTTCTCCAGCACCAAATTCAAGGCCTGGATATTGCCCTTCAAATGCTCCAGACTCCTACCTCCCACGATCGGAAACACATAAGGAACCTTGTGCATCACATAAGCCAGCGCCACGCTCGTGATCAGCGTATTTTTCTTCTTAGCGATAACTTCCAGAGCCCGGGAGACCTTAATAGAGTTTTCGTCCACCTCGCCGATGTTTCGACCTTGGTTTGCCTTTCGCTGTTCCTCAGTCTTGAATTTCCCACCACCAAGTGAACCCCAGGGTGCGATGCCCATGTTCTCGGAGATCGTCATTGGGATGATTTCTCGCTCGAAATCACGATCGGCGGCACTCCAGCGCCCCTGATAGACAGAGAATTGCCGCAAGCCGTGATCGCGCGCGTACTGGTTTGCCTTGGAAACGATCCAGGCAGGGATGTCGGATGCGCCGATGTATATAACTTTGCCGGAGGTAATGGTGTCGTTGAGTGAGTTCATCATCTCGGGAATGGAGCAGGTGAAGTCCCAATAGTGAACCCAGAGCTAGATACAGCTGTCAGCTGCGTATTCGTAGGGAAAGTCGGGGAAATCTGGGACGCACCAAGTCAACATAAGATGTCTGGAGATTCTTCAGACTGTTTTCAAGCGAGACACGAAGACTTTTCGAGCCATTGCCGACAGTGTTGGCGATGATTTCTTCGTGCCCGTGTCCAATGCGAAAGGCAGATGAGTACTTTGTGGCGAGAACAATCTGGTCGCGAACACCACGCTTCTTCATCCATTCTCCGATCCATTGCTCTGACTGTCCTGCTTGGTAGTGGTTGGCTCTAGGATGACATTAGCTTAGTGCTTGAAGGCCAAAGCGGATAGGGTTACTACGTGTCGACAAAGTTGCCGCCACTCTCATAGAAGAAATCAAGAATGCTCTCGGTGGTCTTTTGATCGCAGGCTCCAAGCCAAGCGGTCCTGTAAGCTGTTAACGTCGGTAATTATATTGGTCGAAGTTCAACATACCATGCATCTCCGAAGTTCATTGCACCTAAGCATAGAGGACTCACTCGAACAGCTGCAGTCGGAGATAGCATTCGGTATCGACCAAGGGCCGTCTTGGGCTGGGGAGCAGGTTTGATTATGGCCTCCATTCTGGTAAGTGTTGAAAACCGGATTCCAATGAAGCGCTTTTGCAGTATGGACTGAAGTCAAATACTTTCAATGAGTATTGCGAGACTTAGGAGTAGTTGGAATGAAAACGACGGCAGGAGGGCGCTTATATATTCAGGTGGTGACCCGCTTCCTGGTCCAGGACCCTATGGAGATCCCAGATTCATATGTTGTTCAATACCCATGGAGATAATGGCTCTCGGGCTGTGCCATGAGGATAGACCAGGAATATTCCGTGAAATTCCAAACTGGACGCATATTACGAGACCCTCTAGGCTGGGCTGGTATGAAATGCAGGGAGGGATTAACCGAGCAGGAGGATGCAGGGAATTTAGTCCAAAACGCCGATAAGTATATCGGGTTTAAGGACTGCTGCTGTGACTTGTGACTCACAACTGACACGCAGAGTGGGAGTGAGATATGACACAAGCAGCATAGATTGAAAAATTGTTGGGTATGAAAACACACGGCGAATTTCGCCGCGAGGTGACGTCAAGCCAACATATTAGGGGTTTAATCTAGTGGAGAAATACGTTTATAATTAATAGCATGGATTTAAGGAAATGGATGTAATGTCGAATTTGACAGTAAGATGGCGTTAAGGCGGTGTTAAAGAGGTCAATAGTTGCTGAAGGTCCAACAAAATGGAAGAACGAGATTATAACTTTTAGCTCACACTAATCAACCCATGCAAAAATGCAGCTGGCGTACACCCACTACGCCATTGCAGTACTAAAAATGGCAAAACGCTTGCTTGATATTAACTGAAGATCAAGGTAGGTAACAAGCAGTTGGATACCCTAGAAACCCCCACATAAGAAAAACAGATCTGGTGACAGTTAAGGACTAGTGTCACTGGACATCTGTTCCTAAAGGAGACTAGTTGTAAGCACAATGCAGTAGCGCCTTGGTGTAAGAAGCAGTAACTCAACTTCAACATACGTCGCTCCTAAAAATGCAGTCATTAGTTTGAAAAGCACGTATGAGATTCTATGTCCGGAGATAAACCCTTACAAGTGCGAAGTTGAGAAGACAACATGCATCTAAGCCTAGTGGGCCAAGTGGCGCCACCTTAGACAAAAGGTACCGGTAGGCTTGTCCGAGCTTCTGCGGCCCAGGAGATATCTTCACTCGAAGTAACAACTCACAAAGACCAACCCATCCAACAAACTCGAGCTTTAAGATGAAATATTCCGGCATCCCGACCTCACCACACGGCAACATGTCCACAGAATCATACCCGCACAACGCAGGCAATAATGCTGCGAGTATTCCAAACCGCCATATATATGTGTATATGACCTGCATCTCCTATCGCTGCGCGCGAATACGGATATGATCGTAAGCCAGTTTCGAGGAGAGAGTATAGTAGAGGCTTGGTGCTAGACACTTGATGCGGGGAAGCTAGCTTTTTTCTGGGAATAGGACGCGTTTAAAATGCGAAATGAATGTGACATGCGCTATGCGCTATAGAGGTTTGGCTTCTGTAGCTTCTGTTCGGGTTTCGCAGTCTGTTGGTGTTGATTTGAAGCATCTCGAGGTCGGCTTGGCGTAGTTCTGGTGGTTTGGCAGGATTGATTAGTCAGCTCATCAGTCACGCAGACTGAGTTCTCAGATGTACAGAAAGTCTGCTTTCATCTTGTTTGGAATGTTTATTGATATAAGATTTCTATGACTTTGCTTATTCCATTGTCGCAATCTTGGCAAAACAATGAGTACGGTGAGAAGATCACGTGCTGTTTCATTGAGCACTGAGTACCTAGCTGACCTGCTACTGGCGCAAAGGCTTGTCTGCGATAGAGGTTGCTTGGAATTCTTAGAGAATTCAATAATAGCATCTCAGTTATACTTGAGTACTTATAGCTCCCTATTTAATTACCCTATTATAAGGCTCCGTCGTAAGGCGCCAAGACGACGGAATGACACACATTAAAGTTACTTACTGCAAGCTTCCCACGCCATAGATATCCAAACTAGTTAGTCACATGCGTACTTCTCATATATACTACCACCAACACACATCCTATTAAACTCCAGGCAAAGCAAAGCCGTCGAGATTCGGCCAATTCCCGAGCCCCGCAGGATCACCCCCAATCCTCACATACTGCCCCACGGAAGGCGTTGGCCCATCAAGCACAAACATCATATACCACCCCGGTGGACACACATGGGCATTCGGTGGCACTGTAACCGTACATGTTGTCCCAGCACATGAAACAGCGGGGAATAGCGTTCGCTGACCCATGCTATTGCCATGCGTGCTAGATACCGATCCTAGCAACGACACCTTTGTGTTGGCTGCGGAACTGGTAAATGAGATAGCGGTGCCATATGCCCAGTCTTTATTCGTGATACTAAAGGTCGGGCGAGCGGCGCCTGAAAGTAGGTAAGGAGGCGTGAAGACCTCTACTCTATATTCCTCTGGGAAGTTACCTGGCGGGTTGCTGTAATCGCCTGTAGGGTCCGAGCCGGATATCATTACTCGCCCATCAAGTAGAATAATAGCTTCGGAATGATAAAGACGTGCGACGGTGGTGTTGGCCATAACGCTCATGCGTTCATTTACTGGTTTTGTGGGGTCATATAAAATCGCGTTATAGTTGGGTGAGCCGCCTAGGCCGAAGCCTGCTACACCGTGTTGGCCACCGTTGGCTATTAGGTAGGTACCGTCGGGAAGACCAGCCATGCAGGGCATGACTCTTCGGGAGGGCTGAGGTGTATGTCAGCTAGGATGGCATAGTAAAATTGCGTGCGGTGGACTTACCATTCTCTCAATCGTCCACTGAGGGTTTTCAGCTTCTGGCTGCGTAGATACGCAGTTGTCAATTGAGAATCCTCCCCCTGACGTCGATCCTCCGCATGCCAAAACTCCTAAGGGGTCAGTGAAGGGCGCATATTGAGGTAAGGCGACCATTGACCCCTGTAGTTGATAGCTTCGCCCACCTGTTGGGTCGTTGACGGCTCCAGGAAGATTCGGCAGCGTCTTGATCGTCGCAAAGGTATTTTCGTCTAAGATCCTCGCTTCGTTATAATACAGAATAAAAATACCCGATGGAACAACCAAGACGAAGGGGTATAGGTTGAAGGGGGCTGTGCGCTGCAAGAAATCTAAATCGACGAGACCGCCGCCTGTTCTAGGCAGAAGCTCGAGGTTTGGCTGCTCATCAGCATTTTGGCCAATCTCTCCTCCTACCACAAGAATCGAGCCGTTGGCCATTATCATAGCTGACGGATACCAACGCGGAACCAGCAATTGCAGGTTAGTTGGATCTTCGGTCCATTCGTTGGTTCCCTTCACCCCATCCGATCCGTCAGGCCAGTAGAGACGAATGCCATAGTTGGAAACACCAGCCCAGCCTCCAATAGTAATTTGCCTCCCTGCTTTATCAGGTAGAGTGAGTCCTGCGGCACAAAATACGTCGGTCTTCAAGCCTGTCATCTGCCTCCATGCGTTGTTGAAGTTGCCAATTTGAGACAAATCAAGCTCATAGGCTCCTGTGCCATTTGGATTCCCTGTTCCAGATTTCTCGATAAAGGTTACCTTGCCAGTAATAGCTTGCGATGTAATGAGTGGCACAGTTACGCCCCCGATAAGCAATGAATATTGCCCAGCCGCTGCTCCGGTCGGAAAGTCCCATTTCACAGGAGAGGTCGTGAAAATGTAATAGGTAAGTCGGTTGCCAGAACCACAATAGTAACTCGTGTTGCCGGTGCACTGGGAATTGCATTCCGAATCGTCGTAGGTGGCGGGTATGGTGCTCCGGGTGTAGAACTGTGTATCACTTGGATTCGTTGAAGTACTCGGTGCAGATGCAATATCGATATTTTCAACATCACCGCAAACTAATATTGTTAGTCCGACGTTGGTAATTTGGGGGGAAAACAAATTGCATACAGCATTGGGAACCGTATTCAAGTCCAGCAGCATTAAACCCAAATTGTTGGCACCGAGTAATACAAGAAACCGCCTCATTTGTTTGCGTATCCCATACTTTATATGGAAAAGTCGGTAATTGTGTATTGGGATCTTCTTTTGAAGCTATATTGTCCCTTGTGCCACGCTTAGTTTCCGATCAAGGTATGACAGCTTGAAACGAGGCACACTCACTGAAGACATCCGGAGTAAACCCATCCATCTGGCAGGCCGACCTTTTGAGGACCAGAAGTCGGCGCAGCCTGTCTTCGATCGATAATTGCAGCATGTGATGGAGTAAGCTAGTAAAGTAAGACAGGGGGTCTCGTTCTTGTCTGGAATCGGGCACCCACAAAGAATACGAACAACACTGCTGTAAGGGCACTCCCAAAATTCCAATCCATAGCTCAGAGCTCTGGAGAGTAGTGTTTGAATTGAACTAGTGTTTGGATCAATGTGGAGACACAGTTGATAAAAGCTAAAAAAAAAGTGAGACAATCTTGGAATTGAGTGCTTGCAACGAGGGCTGAATATAAAGAAGGAAGGGATATCTCGAAGAAGTAGTAAAAAAGTGAGATGACCGAGGGTCAACATCAAGACGGTGATAAGGGTGTTGCATGTCGGTAGTAGAAGCTCAACCATCACCTCAGCCTAACGCACGCCAAGACCTGCACGTCTTGCAAACCAACCTCGTATTCCACGACACTTGACACGGCTAACAAATTGACGAATGATAGAATCTACCTCGATAGTCCTGAAATAGAAAGTAGATAAACATGTGCACACGCCTGCTTCATACGGGACTTCCTTGTAGATGATGCGCAGCATTTTTTGGTGGTTGGACAACGGATCGGGATAGAAATGGATACAGGGAAGCTAGGGGGCCTGATGATTCGCAGGATCGACCTGTTGTCAGCCTCAAAATGAAACATGTGAGGATCTGCATCATCCATCATGTAAGTCAGACTCGGCTCGGATTATTATATCCTAGCACATCTCACGGGGACAACCCTCTCCCGAAATCCGAAATGTCGAATTGACTTTTGCTTCTGTGCTGTGCGCCTTGTACTCCGTACACTATCATGTTGGATAGGAGATTAGGATCTGCTGGGATATAGAATTCATGATAAAGGGCACCGAGCGGCGCTAATTACATAAGCATGCCAAGGACAGACCTCGCCTCGCTTCGCCTCGCTCTACTGGCACCACGACAGGAAACCTCTAACAAGCCAATGGTGTTTATGATACGAATAGCTACAGTACGATGACTAGCTCCTATCATCACACAAATGTAATAAGATAATCTAATGACGAGTCGATTCAATTGATTATCTTCTAAGCTTGCGGCATTTATTGTACTACTGAATGACCAAGTGGTCTGTTGGCTATTTCCCGGTTCTTTTCAGCTGCTAGGCGCTTATCTGTCTGAGGAGCTCGCAACCACCTTGAATTTAGTTCAAAGCTCACCCTCAAAGTACTCAGGCCTGTTGTAGTGACGTGTCCGTATCCTACGATTCCCGCGGAACCATCCGTAAGGGCGGAATCCTGCCCTTGCTCGACTGGTATGTAGTGTACTTAAAGTAGCGACGCCCATTCCTAGAGTCTCGAGAGGCAATGTACGAGTAGTACATAAAGAAACGATGCGTCTTTCAGTCGCCCCGGGTGAGAATGAAAGAGCTTTCAAGTTTTGTCCGACACAATCAGCAACCCGCTGCGGTTCTTGATTGCACATTCTTACCAATCCCCGAAGCTTAAGAAACCAACTACGAGACACTATCAGCGAATGCTGCCATGAAGCTCGATAATGGAAAGAATTCTTTGTCTATAGTCTTAGTCGTTCTCGCAGCTGGAATCCGCGCGGAGCTAACCGTCCCAGTTAAGGACGAGTATGCGCATGGCGTGGTTGAGGTTGGATTCGGGTCTCCTGCTACGCTTTATACACTGCTACTTGACACGGCAGCTGCCAACACATGGGTGGGCGCCGACAAACCCTACTCTCGAACATCTACTAGCCAGAAGACTGCGAATCGAGTGACTGTTGTCGAGGGGTCTGGAAGTTTCAACGGCCATGAATATTGGGATACCATGTCCCTCGATGGGACCACCTTCGAACAGAGTATTGGAGTCGCAGAAAAATCTAAAGGCTACCACGGTGTGGACGGTGTACTAGGCCTGGGACAGACACAGCGCTCTCGCGGTACTTTATATCCTGACACAGATGTGGAAGTCCCTACCGTTCCCGATGAATTGTTTTCCGCCGGAGCAGTTGACAGCGCCACTGTCAGTATCGGCAACGGACACGTCACCTTCGGATCTTCACCAGTAGAAATATCCAGTATGATATACGCGCCAGTCACCAAAACCCCCCCAGCCAGCAGCTTCTGGGGCATTGATGTCAGCTTTGCTTATGGTAACACTAGTCTCGTATCAACGACTTCCGGCACAATCGACCACGCCACCACACTGACTCTGCTACCTACCGAGGCTTATAAACGCTTTCTAAAGCTGACTAAAGCTGTTGAAGATCAGGAAACCGGTCTACCGATGTTAGACAGGTGCACTTTTCTGCGCCCGCTAAATCTTACTCTGGGAGCAAAGAATCTCGAGATTCCTGCTGAGCAATATAGATGGCCTGCCGCCCAAAATACTGCCATTGGAGGCAAGGCTGCCAAATGCTACTTAGCAGTAGGTGACACTGGATTTTCCACCGGCAATGGTATCGACTTTGTCATCGGATACAATACATTGAAACACTTGACCATTGTCCTTGACAAGGAAAACTCTAGAGTCGGATTCGCAACTGCTGCAACAGAAGTTTAGTCGTCTTCTTAGAGTTGATAATGCAGCCTGTTCGCGCAAGAAGTTGTGTGTTGTTGTGTGGATAAAGACCTGGGGGAAGGAAGACCGAGAATTTACTTGGAAAGAGAATTGGTGCAAGGGAGGAGAAAGTGTAAACACTAGTGCTGGTTATCATCTCAGCAGCATTAAGTGTTACGCCGCCAGCTTCTATAGCTCCAGCACTGAAAAATGGGCTGGTTTTCAAACACTAGCAACAAAATATCCAATAGTCTGCCCCTATTTGACCTAGTCATGTGATACTACAGTTGCTCAATGAAGCTGTCAAGCTGCTTTACTGCTTAAACCCCGATGCATAGTGTGGGACCTAGATCAGCCCTTTACTATTCTTATCCTCGATTAACTAGCATAGATCTTCTTGGCCAGAGGCTAGTCAGGTGACTGAGCCTGTCAGCCATCTACTTGATTAGTCAGCAGACGGTGAGAATTCTGCTTTTCTTGTATACACATTTCATCTTCTTGGTTAATGTCACACCTGCTATCAAAATGCGACGATATTTTTCTCAGTCCAGGCGGAGCCGCCGTTGTCTTACGTTTCATCCGAGCATCCGAGCTTGTATGCAGGTGGACCCTAATGATATTTATATCATATTCAACAGAGTATTTATAATTTGCTGGTGCAATTTTTTTAATTGATTATTATAAGTATACTCCTAAAGGTTTTGTTTCATCAAACTTGAGATATCTGGTTAATGGTGGAAATAGATGTTCCTTAGCGCTCAAATTACCCCACAATATCTCCGGCGGGGTATACATCACTCTATCTGCAACAAAAGGGCCTTCTACACCTGCCCTGATATTTCTATAAGATGTACATTTTCATTATAGGTACCCAAGTACCTTGTCACCCTTCCTTCCTAGCAACTTTCAAATCTCTGTTGATTTTCCCTCCATTTCAAAATCTTCGGTTTTACTCTACTTCCTCATTATGCTTCCCTCTCCTTCAAAGATCTCTACATTCTATCTCATTGCCCTATCTTCCCTTGTCCCACCAGCCACTTCCACAAACACCACTTCCGCCCCCATATCCACTCCCACATCCACAAATACAACAACACCATGCTTCTGCACAACATACCCGCAAATCGCCCCCGCAATTTCAGCCTGCCCCTCCCTAACCCTGCACAACATCCACGCTCCCGCTCACAGCGCCATCGCTCTCACGTCCCTCGTCCCCGGCACAACGATCACGTTTTCCGGCACGACGACGTTTGCGTATACTCCGGATTCGCAGTTTCGCCCGATCCAAATCTCGGGATCGGGTGTTAGCATTCTGGGTGCGCCGGGATCGGTTATTGATGGAGGGGGGGAGATGTATTGGGATGGGCTGGGGAGTAATGGGGGATTAGCTAAGTAGGTTCTTAATTTTAATTTCTGAAGAGAAGAGTAAAAGCAAAGGGGACGGAGAAACAATAAGGGACATTATAGGTAGAAAAGGGTATTTGGCTAATGATAACTGGAGAATCTGTTCAGGCCGGGTCAGTTTATGAAAGTACAGATTACAAATCATTCTACGATGAGCGATTTGTATATACGGAATTATCCATCCCATGGTATAAATCTCGCTGGTGTTAAGGACTCAATCATTGAAAATATCATTCTTGTACGTCCGAAATTCCCTTCACTTCCTCCACCACCACCACAAAATCCGAGTTCGGTCGCTAGACATGCTAATATATGCATATTATACTATAGAACAACTCTCTCGGCGATGCACCAAATAACCGAAGCAACGGCCTTTCCGCAGCGCATAATTCCGATGGCTTCAATATAGGAAATTCTGCCAATTTGGTGCTAAGAGATAGTAATGTGTGGAATCAGGATGATTGCGTCGTTGTGTCTGACTCGACTAATGTGAGTGTGAGTGGGATGTTCTGTTCGGGCAGTCATGGATTATCTATCGCTGGAGGTGGAAGTGGGACAGGGCATGATATAAGTAATATCTTGTAAGTTTTCTTGTCCTTCCTTATATATTATTGAAGAGTATAGATAGAACGGGATGAAGTTGACTGATTTTGGACGGTTCCCAGGTTCAAGGATTCAGTGGTAACGAATTCTACAAACGGGCTGCGCATCAAAACCGATTTCAATGCTACGGGTAGTGTGACAAATGTCACGTTTGATAATATCCGGCTTGAGGATATCAAGACATATGGCATTGATATCCAGCAGGATTATCTTAACGGTGGACCAACGGGCACGGCATCGAATGGTGTTTTGCTTGGGGGGATTACGTTTAGAGATGTTGCGGGCTGGGTAGTGGAGGGGGCGATGGATTATTACGTACTTTGCGGTAATGGGAGTTGTAGTGACTTTGAGTTCGAGGGGGTTAGTGTAAAGGGGGGCAATAGGAGTAGTTGCAATTATCCTGAGACGGGATGTCCGGGGGTGTAGGGTGTACGATGGATTGAGAGATCGTATATTTCAAATCGTAAATTTGTACATACGACGTCCTCGGACCTCCATCTGAGCGTTCAGCTGAAACCCGGTGTTAACTTTGCGGCCCTGAAAATAATTTAGTTTGAAGAAGGAATTCTACCAGGCTCATTCTCTCTCGCAGCTGGAATGGTACTATTCTCTTGCTTCCTGTTCTCCATCTCGCGAAGGTGTTGATGGGTTTCTTGATGTTTCCGTGATCTTGTGTCTCCTTGATTAGGGGTCTCATGGCAAGTTCCCGGGGCATGTAGTTATTCATACGTGGTCTGTGCTTCATCTTATCTACAGCTAATGGGCATATAGTTGCGGTGCTTTTGCTGACCACTTATTGTATGATGAAAAGTTGACTACGTGAATAAGTCTCCCGCCCACGAGGATTTTGTTCTGGTTTTGCTCAATTGAAAGTCAAACACTAAAAAAACGTGGTTTAGATCATAGGTCAAGTAAACACGTTACTCTCTTTTACCCTCTGCTAATCTAAAAGCTTCCACTCTACCTGTAATCCCCCAAGTCAATCATTCAGATTTAATACAGGATCTTCTGAATCTTTCATTAGATTCAAGTACTTCTTCAACGCATACTTATATGTAATACCATAGACACTAAGGTATATAAAGAACCCATCCAATCGCCAACCTACAGGTATAGAAGGACAATCTCGTCACAAGAGTAGGGAAGAAGAGCGCAAATGGAGTCGGCGCATTGACAAGTGAAAATAAAGCCGGAAAGCGGAGTGTAGAGGGCTACTGGTCCATGTTTCGCATAGTATATAGAGTAGAATTGGTTGCAGGTGAGGCCATGGTCAAGAAGCATGATTGTGCCACTTGAAATAACAAAAGCAGCGATTATATTATGAGGTAATATCATGACTTGTTAGCCACACGGACCCTCGATTTTCTTTCACCTTTTCATTCCCATATCCCCAAGTATTCGTATTCCGCCTATCCACCATCAACACCACCACCAAGCATGCCACGTCTGTTAAATCCTAACAAATGCCCCATCATTTCTCATGAACCTGAATTCTGGACCCATCCAACCTTTCAGCAGCTCCACCAGGCGAATTTTATGTCCAGATACCGAATGTCCATGAGCGAACCTCAAAGGATTAGGATTGCCTCCATGGCTACAGAGACAGTCCGAGACAAAGTTCCTCTTGAAGTCCCATCCGCCGACTACGTATTCATAAGTGACAGGGACCTTATCATAATTCTGCCAGTGAATGCTGTAGAGCTTTTTGCAGGTCAGGCCGAAGGACGTCGAGCTCGCGGGACCAAGGAACGAGAATATTTTGAGGTGGAGTTCGGGGGCCAAGGTGTATAGAGTGAGGCTGGTGCGGACTATTTGAAAAGGTGGTTAGTTCAGTTGCTTAGGAGGTTTGAGAGGTTGATGATCTTTACCGAGTTGTGTTTGACTAGCACTAGCTTCCGTTGTACCGTTTTGAAGCATACTTCTCAGCATGGCCGAAATGGGGTTTGTAATTTGGTCCTTATTATCTCTGGTATTGGAATTTCGGAATGTCGTGGAAGGTAAAATATTTCGGTGTGGAGTTCTGGCTTGGTGCAAGGAGAAACGTAATTTAAGTTTGTTCCTATTAGGAGATTCACTGAAGAAGCTGACAAGTGTAGACATTTCTCAGTCAGAGAACTAGAGAAAGTCATTGTCAGTTAAGAAATAACTCGAGATCTTCTTCCATTGACTCAAACGTAGTTGACGTCATAGAATTGGAAAAAAGACAGTTCAGAATTGAACGCCGCATATCCTTCTTAGATACATGGTCAAAATGAATATCAGCTCTGTAGTACTTTTAGATATTCGTCTAGCGGGAAACCTCACGAACAGGTCTCTTAATCCGCGCCTACAAACACTATATTTCTCCCTTTCAAGTCTCCCCTCAAAGCTTCCTCAACTGCGCCAACCGTCCCGCATCCATCTGCCAACCCCTCCCCCTCTGCCTGCCTCTTTACCCCCCTCGGCCTCACAAACACTTCCCTTGATACATCATACTCCCATCCCAGCCCTATCCACCCCTGAAGCATAGTATATAGAACCTGCACCTTCAACTCACGATCCATCCAAGCGCCCGGATGGCAAATCCACCACTTGGTATCACATTCACATTTCGGGTGCGCGTGTAAGCGCTCTTCGCTGATGAGACAGCGGGCGGTGGAGAGACGCACTGCTTTCCAGATGGACCAGTAGAGAGGGTAGAAGAAGCGGGAGGTGAGACCGAGGCAGGTGGAGCTGAGTGCGTCGAGATGCGTAAAGATGAGGAGCTTGAGCTCGTTAGGGAGGGTGGTTAGATTGGGAATTGGTGGCTTAAGAGATGTGGGGTTGTAGGTAGTGGGTTCTGGTAAAACCTTTAATGGGTAGGCTGGTGCATGTGCTGCTTTATTGTCGATCTCTGATTCCCATTCCATGTCCATTTTGTTATGTTGAATATGTTCGCCTATAGATGTGGATAAGGATTTCGGTGGAAGATGTTATAGACGTTGGCTGTCGGTAGATTGTCAAAAGGGATGTTGAACTTAGGAGAATTTATACTAAGACATCGATAAAGGATTCTTCTAAGACCTAGATACTTGAAAGCAGTGTTTGTAGAACATAATCTGGTATTGTGTTCCATTCATATATTACAATGGATTGGTGAATGAAAACGATAATAATATTCCCTCGCGATAAAAGAGAATTTTATTCTCAAAAACTCGTGTAAATGCACTTGCGGTGTAGTTCTTATAGGATATATACAAATCGGTGTGATTATGCTTAAATTGCCAAGACCGGGGCTTTTATCTGATTGCGGGGGCCTAGTGGCCCCTTCATAGCTAAACGAGCCAATAGAAAACATTGAAATTTAGCTTGAAGTTTAGGCCGCTTACGAAATTGCACGCTACTTTCAACTCCACATGATCCTCATCTCATTTGTATTTTGGTCAAGTTCACTCAGCTCCCTCAGAAGTGGTCAGTAGCTTCAAGACAATGTTCAACATTGGTGGAATCTAGAGAAATCTATTAGCATGTCACTTGCATCCAATGCTCCTCCTACCTTAAAACCCCGCCGACGGCGCAACCCGCGCCCCATCAACGCTTGTACGGAGTGCCGACTTCGAAAGTCAAAATGCAGCCGGTCATATCCATGTCAGAATTGCACTCTGTTCAAAAGAGAGTGCATATTCATCGACAGCCGGCCAGCTAAGAAGCAAGGAGGCCGCAAACCAGAAGCGCATGCTAGGAACCCGGCACGCGCGGAAAACCCCTTAGAAAATGCCCAAACGCCACCCCGGGACTTCGAGTGGGAGGATTATTTGCAGGCGAGGCCTCCTGAAGATAATCCATGGGAGGAACTGGTTGCTGATCCAGTAGCATTGCACGACGGAACGTTTTTAGATGAAGACGATGACGGCTTCGTCGAGAACGTTGCGACCAGCAGAACAATTCGGATAGGAAAAATGGTTATCACACAACGAATAGGAAGTATATTTCATCCAGGAATTGTTAAAGAGGTACTTTGATCTTGCTTCTACTTATGGTTTATGATTAGAAAGGGCGTTGACTAGCCGCAGATTGAAACCCTTCTTTCCGCTGACGAGACGTTGCAAAGACCTAATATGGGCTCATTCGCAGACTATTGTACCAAGTCGCAGACTATGGGTATTGATCTATTTGCCAATAGTAATATCTCAGAAGGATGTGATGTCATTTTACCTTATAGGTTTGAGGCAGAGTTGTTGTACCAGCAGTATCTCCAGGCTGTGGACCCAATTGCTCACATCCTGCATGTTCCATCATTCAAATGCATGTTTGACTCGTTTTGGAACAACGTAGACGAGCAGCGACCTAATTCCGGTCCAAGAACTGCTCTAGTGTTAGCCATGTGCATGTGCGCTGCTGCTAGTATGTCCTCACTGCAGACGATGAGCCACTTTGGTGTCAGCCAAGAATCTCTTTACGCACACCTGAAGATGTCTTGTGAAGCGGCCTTCAAAAGGGGGAATTCTTTAATTTCGTCATCTATTCAGTGCCTTCAGGCTTTGACAATTTATCTTGTAGGTAGTACTCTGGACTATACTCAACACTAATATGGCAAGCTAAGGTGATACAGATGACGGAATGTCGAAGTGAAATTACTAGGGCGCATTCGGTACTGGTCAGTGTTCTCATACGACTTGCCCAGTGCGTCGGGATTCACCGAAATGATATTATGAAAACTCTCGATCCCTGCCAGCGGCATGTCCGAGGTCTTCTCTGGTATCATATCTGCTATCTTGACGTCAGAACAGCGGAGGCAGAAGGACATCAGCCCGCTCTTCGACCCGATGACTTCGATATCCCATTACCGTCTAACGTCAACGATGCAACTTTTGATTTTGGACTTTCGCCGCCCCAGTCTTTAACTGGATGGACAGACACAACATCCTCTTTACTACGCTTTGAGTTCACGGAGCTGTATGCGATGATCCTTCGAGGGAGAGTTCAAATCGATCGCGGCCAAATCACTTTACGAGAATTACGACAAACTGTGGCTTCCAAAAAGGCACTTATTAGAGAGAAATATGTTATTTATCTTAACTCGGCGGTTCCAATTCAACGATATGCTCATCTGGTTGCCAACTTGATGCTGTCACGTTGTGATATGATGATACTATATAGATATTTTCCCAAAAAAGAAAGAACGCCGGCTCAGGATTGCCTTATAGACATGTAGGTCAAGATTAACCCTTGACCTGTCAAATACTAATGGGTGGTAGTATTATCGAGTCCGCAATAACAACCCTTGAAAGTGGAGCAGCATTGGAGACATCCGCTAGTTCACAGCAATTTGCCTGGTATGCAGGTGCTTATCAGCAATATGATTCGGTTCTTCTACTACTAATAGAAAGGTACAAGAACCCGAAGCTCAAGCACTCGGATCGCATCCAGAGGCTTATTGACTACATTTTCGGTCCTTGCTACGGGGT